TAGTGACCATGCCATCATCCCTGGACAACCTCAACACAAGAGTATAGATCGTTTGCTCAGAAGACATGATCATGTAAGGGTCGAGTTCTTGTATCGAGGTGAACCTGTGTCCGATGGTGGATTGCACTTGACTGCGCATCAGAGTCGTCAGTTGGACAAAAAAGCCAAAGCCTGTCATTCGGTCCTAACGGCATCGTCAAAGGGTCGATGCGCGGTTATGGAAGTGTTTTCACCCCCTCGGTTTTCACTCGAGGTGCAGAAGCGAGGGCTGAAGGGTCGTTCGTATGATCTGGTGAATGGGTTCGACTTTCGACGAACCGCTGATAGGCAGCTAGTGGAAGCTGATCTGCGTCAAGATCCACCAGAGCTGTTGGTGCTGTGTCCTCCCTGCACCGACGAGGGAGGCTGGTTTAACCTCAATAGCAGCAAGTGGAGTCAGCTAGAGGTACTGAGGCGAAAGGCAGTTAGCAGGAGTTACATTCGATGGTGTTGCAAATTGTTCAGGATTGGAGTTGAAGTAGGCTGCCGTGTGTTGTTCGAACACCCGACCGGAGCACGAACATGGTCATATGCCGAGATGCAATCACTGTGTCGTAAGTTTTTCACAACGAAACTTCACATGTGCAGGTATGGCATGAAACTTCCTGAGTCTGAGCGCTTCATCCGGAAGAGCACTAGGCTGCTCGTATCTCATGAGGACATGTGTGAACTTGGCTTGCTATGTCATAGGTCCGGAGACCATGCCTGTCATGATGTGATTGCCGGAGGTGCCCCAGGAGTGTCCAGTATTAGTGCATATGCAGGAGCCTACCCAGTCAAATTTGTACAAGCAGTACTGAAACATGTTCCTAGCATGTCGGACCATCGAATAAGAGAACATCACAATGTTTCATGGAAGTCATTGATGACATGGTGCCGGCTGACCAGTGGCCAGAAGTCCTCGCCGTGAGTCAGCTTCAGGGCAAGTCGGATCAAGATCTCATGCCAGTCCTGTCCAAACTTCATCGTAATCTATAGGTCATCCCCCGAATTGTGATTTGGTAAGAATCTTGAAGCATGGTCAAGCCAGTGACCAAGCCCTGAGACTCGCTAAAGAATTTTCGTGCGAGTTCTGTAAGAGTCATGCTCGACCAAAGATTCCGCTGCCGTCCCAATCCAATCGAGTGACCGAATTCAACCATCAGGTAGGATTGGATGTCAAACACCTCAAAGGATGGATGCCTAATCAGAAGATCAAAGCCTTGAACGTGGTAGATACGGCCAGTGGATTCCAGCGCATGATTCCGTTTTTCGAGACTGAAACAGCAACCGTGCTACGCCGTTTGTTCAGCGAACACTGGATTGCATGGGCCGGAACACCCCGGGAGATCATTCTCGATCCAGCCAAAACAAACCTAGGTGATCCAATGGTTGTTCCTGCCGAGCTTGACGGATCCCAGATCCGACCCATAGCTGCGGGTGCTCACTGGCAATTCGGCAAGTGCGAATCCCATGGAGGGTGGTTCGATCAAGTGTTGGAAAAACTGGTCGATGAGTTTTCCCCCAATAGTCAAGCAGAATGGTTGGAATGTGTTCATCATGCTCATGTGAAGAATCAACAGTTGCAGGTACACGGGTTTTCCCCACATCAGTTCGTGTTTGGCAAAAACCCCCACATTGCTCAGGACCTGTTGAATGAGCCTTTGTCCATTGTTTCAGCTACGTCTTCATTGTCAGAAGAAGGACTTGCCAAGGCTCAGGCCATGCGCACCGCAGCAAGAACTGCGTTGGGATCGAGCTCTCCGAGTAGCCTTGCTAGCCAGACCTCGTGTTAGCATTCCCTTCAACCCCGGTGATCTAGTGGCGTACTGGAGGAATCAGAAATGGGTTAATGGTACCCTACAGAACGGAGGTCAATGGTATGGGGTTGCAGTGGTTTTGGGCCAAGTGGGGAGAAATCTGATCGTCGTGCATCGTAGGCAAATCTTTCGATGTGCACCAGAGCAGGTTCGACACGCTACGAACGAGGAGAAGTGTTTGATCACTACTTCTCAAGCCGAACTCCTAGGTGTGAAGGACATGATTGAAAAAGGTAATCTCAGTAGCAAGCAATATGTTGATCTGCTTCCTCAATCGTATCCTCCTCAAGCCGAGAGTGACGAACCTGATCATGCATCCGTCCCAGGACCAGGAGATCAGGTTAGTGTTGATCCACAGGTATCCGGTCGTTCAAAAGATAGTCCAATGCCAGCACCAAGCAGGGAGCTACCGAATGAATCTCCAAATGCACAGTCTCCACCGACAGTCCTGGAACGACAGTGGATGCTCGCACTGAAGCTCATTCAGAGGAACCTAGTTCCACCTATGGTCCAGTCCGGCGAAGAGTGTCCGGAAAAGATGGGCCGTTCGCTCTGTGGCGACCAGCAGCACTCCGACAAGAGGATTTCGTTGACATCATCAAAGATGTTGTGCCACAACTGATTGAAGATGCGTGCATGAACCAGAGCAAACGACCTCGATCTCCCACTGCTGAGTCCGAAGAGCCGACCGCATCTAGACCTCGTGTAGAGGTGGATGAAGCTCTCAGTGTTGAAGAAATAGGTGCCCTGAAAGACATCGCCGATAATCAACCCTGGGAATGCTTAATGAGCGAATACCTTCACAAGAAAGCAGCCAAAGAACTGAAACATAGTAATAATCCTCCTGATCTACAAAAGAAAGTCGATGACGGGAAACGCTCGGAATGGGAGACCATCGTGTCCAAGCCACATGCAGTTCACATTCATTATGGTAAGAAAGCACAGCACATTCGTGAAACACAGTCGCATCGGTTTATCGGAAGTCGTTTTGTGTTGACTCGGAAACCTCTCGAAGAAGGCCTCGATGTAGATCCGAACGACGTCTCCACGTTCATAGTAAAAGGCCGGTGGTGTCTTCAGGGGCACCTTGACCCTGACTTGCCGTCCAAAGCCGAATTAGGCATGTTCAAGTCTCCGACACTCAGTCAAATCGGACGAATGTGTTTAATGCAAACGATTGCATCCCAGAACTGGGAATTGCAGTTAGGAGATATAAAAGGAGCCTTTTTGGAGGCAGGTCCACTAAGTGAGACGTTTCGACCACTCTACGCGACTCAACCACCACGTGGTATACCTGGACTCCCGGCCGACGCTGTGATAGAAGTAACTGGAAACGTGTACGGCCAGAATGATGCCCCATCCGCATGGTTCAAAGAATTTAGTGGCTACGTAAAGAACTTGGGTTGGCACCAAAGCATTCTGGACCCCTGCCTTTTCACTTTGAGGGCTGATCAAGGTCAAAAGTTGGTAGGTATTATGGGTGTGCACGTTGACGATACCGCAGTTGGAGGAGAGGGACCATTGTTCAGAGAGTCCATACAACAACTCCGCAAGAGATTCCCCTACCGAAAGTGGCGTCAAAGGGTTGGTGAATTCTGTGGAGCATGGTACAGCCGACAATGACTCCTCGATCCACATGAACATGGAATCGTTCGTCGACAAGCTCAGGCCCATTAACGTTCCAAAGTCCGGGAGACCCGAAGATCCCTTGTCAGCGGGCCAAATCAAGATCCTCAGAGCGGTGAATGGAAGCCTTAACTGGCTGTCCTCACAGTCAAGGCCTGATCTGAGTGTCCAGACTAGTCTGTCTCAACAAGCTTTTCCTCAACCGCGGATAGAAGACTTCCGCATGGCGAATCAGGCCATTCGTAGAGCCAAGCAGAATCGACAGGTAGGCATCACCTTTCCGCCCATTAATCCTCAAGATATAACGGTAGTGTGTCATAGTGATGCAGCATTCGCCAACCGAGGGAATCACACTCAGGCAGGGTTCATCGTGGGGTTCACAGAATCTAAGCTTCAAGATGGTATAGAAGCCTACTGGTGTCCAGCTGCTTGGAAGAGCTACAAGCTTGCTAGAGCAATGAACAGCACGTTGGCGGCTGAAAGCCAAGCTCTGTCCACAGCCACTGGAACTGTGGAATGGATTCTGTTGCTCCTGGCAGAGATCCTAGATGGACCACTGAATGTCCGAACGTGCCGAGATGTGCTCAAAAGGCGGAAGCCAATTGTTGTGACGGACTGCAAGAGCCTATACGACCACCTTCACTCTCCGTCATCTCCGACAGCCGTGAATGACCGTCGCACCAGCATTGACATTGTAATCATTCGAGAAAGCTGTAGGTTCATGAATGCACACATCCGCTGGGTCCCGACCAATCGGATGTTGGCCGACGGGTTAACTAAAAATGAAGGAGATCCCATAGACCTCCTTAGAGGGTGTATTCGTCGCTCCAGCTACCAGATTTCTCCCGAAGAAACAGTTCTCGAATACCAGGCTGCCGAAAAGGAACTTAGAAAAGCCAATAAGGAAACCGGTCACCCAGTGAAGAATAATGTTTCCAAGGGCAATGATGAGAATTCAAAATGATCCGAGGGTAAGGGGGTTGCACTTGTGATAACCTATCGGGGGTACTGCGAGCAGTTGTTCGATAGCACACAAGTTGTCGTGACGTTTGCGTCGAGTCGTTTTGTTTTGCATGAGACCAGTTATGTGTTTGCACATCCTGAGCCGTTTTTGAGTTGCATCTCATTTGCAAAGAGACACATCACAGTTTCCTCCTGGCTAAGATGGCCGGTGTACGCTCCACCTTGTCCCCGACTTTGAAGAGCCTGCTTGAGCAGGCGAAGGCTGAGGGCATGATCGGCGCCTTGCTTCGTGAGCTGGAAAAGGATGGTGACCTAGAGTTTGAGATGGTGACATTGGACCCGGAGTCCAAGTCATCAGAGCATGGTGCCATGTCGGACGCCTCAAAGCGGCGATTGACCGCCGGAAGCATCGATGAGCCTGTCCGTGTCCCAAGTGCCAAGGCCATGGCTCTCCAGCAGAGCCACGTATCTCGCTCGGAGATTCCGTTTCCGCCCGGCATCGACTCGCTGGCTATGTGGGGAAAGACTCTCATTGAGTCCGGAAAATATGCCAAGCAGAACCTATCGTATGAGGAGTTGAGTGCCTCGGGTGAGCGCGAGAAGCAGTCATACTGCAGCTGGATGGTAGCTCAGCGACATCGGGACAATTTGACCCCGATGGTCCGCGACCTGGTGCAGTATCTGACTTTGGTGGCCGAGACACAGGAGAAGGCCGGTAGTGTCTACCCCGGGAGTTCTTCGACCCGCAAGTTCAAAGATTAGGTTGGGTATGACCATGGGGCTGAGATGGCTCTGATGAAGGACGAAAGTCATTCTGCATATCGAAGAATTTTTCCTGATTGGGCAAATCGGAATTTTTAAAAAAGAGAATATTACCGGTTGTGAAATCCACACGTGACACAACCAGGTCAGTTGTCGAGTCCGAGGGAACTTTCATTGCTCAGGAAAAGGGAAAGCGCCCGATCGGTTTCTCCCTAGGTAGGGAGGGTTCTCCGCTATATATATATATATATTTATATATTGTCCCATGGTGTGTCTGGGTGATAGAGTGAGACCTCGCGATCCACTGTGAACAGACTCTGGAGTGAAACTGCCAGAGTTCCAGAGAACGTCTCCGCTGAAAACGCTGCCTTTGATGTGATCTCCGCTAATTAGCCATATTAGCCTTCCTTCTGACCAACAGATTTTGACCAACAGGTTGACAGATGCAGCTGCATAAAAATAAGGTCACCAGTAAAAAAAAAAGTTGGGCATAGGAGCATTGGTCCGTCTTTTCTTCTTGCGCGGTGAAGCTGTCGCCGATTGGCCGTCTCTATGTTCAAGCTGTATTTTTGGGAGAAAGGATGTGGGGGTTTTACACTTTCAGGCAATTCGAACCTTAATTAGGTCCACTCACAAGCCCCCGCCAGTTGAGGCCCGAGCTGTTCCATTGAACAACCAAACATGTGTTTGACATGGCAGTGAGTCATGGATCCTTGTTCTTTTTCGTGAAATTTGAAGACAAACTTCCGAGATCCAGTATATATACAGTTCAATCTTAGGGGCCCTGGCCTTTTCAAGGGGCATTCTCACGTACCAGACCCAACGGGCGACCCAACTCGAACCCCGACCTGATTCTGCGGCAGGTCACCTTCAACTCGCTATCGCCCCCCCACCCATGCGGGCAGACAAGAGGACCACAAGGATGCGGAAACCCTAAAGTATCATCAACTATCCAAAGGTGTTCACTCAGTGTTCACCGTTAAGGCTTCCCCCAAAAAATGCCCTCAACACCGACTCCAACTCAGCACACCTGGACTCACCCAGCTCAGCTCGTTCGATCTACGCGCGGTGCTTTTTCAGGATGTCACTGAGGAGGCCACTGCGGTGTTTGGTGATATGGGATGATGTGGCGGTCGTGACCCACATGGAGCTTTGGAGCCGGGTCTAATGACCCACAGACCGTGATGAGTGGGACGAGTTGTGGATTAGTACTCAAGCAATGATCCAAAGCAGATTGAGAATTCAATAGAATAGAACTCATGCTATGATTTCTCCTTATGAGTTTATAGGCTACGATATCAAGAAGGGACTTCTTGTTCCAGGAGCGGAGTCTGTGTTCTGACAGCTCATGCCGAAGTTGTCACGTATGGTTGAAGTCAAAAGTATTCTATGTTTTTCCTTTCTGGGGTTTTGCTATGTATCTAGGGTTTTGGCTTTTGGCTTCCTAGAAGCACTTGGAAGCAATGTACCAGAGCTTGGAGCATGCAGCTGGTGTAAGACATCATGAGCCAAATGAAACTGCAGCTGGTATAAAGCACCTTCAGCCAAAGTCTTTGGAAAGTGCAGCTGGTGCAAAACATCATCAACCAAAGGCTTTTGGAAACTGCAGCTGGAAATCGTTCCATCCAAAAACTAGACTGAGTGGAAAAAAGGCGTTACTCTATAAGTTTATATATTTGAATATTGATGTCCGACTCTCTCGGCCCCTGCGCTGCTGTGGGTATGTTTGGTTTGAAGGTACCACAGAACATCAGCAAACACGTTTTGCAAACAATTTTTTGGCTGAAAGTATTGGTTTGGTATTAATTGGGACCCTTCCTATATTTTAACCACCGTCGATCTCACGCCCGCCGCCGGACGCCGGAACTTCATCGTGCGGGTGGTGAAGATGGCCTCCCAGGTGGGGAAGCCAAGAGCTTCTTGCGACGCGTCGCATGCAAACCGTTAACATCCTTGAACTTGACCTTTTAAGGGAGTTTGTGATGAACCTGGCCTTCCAGTTGGCCCATGTAAGTTCGGCAAGCGCCTAGGCAAATTGAGCACACAAAGGAAAAATTAAGCACTACATGGGTCTCCAGCGCTCTTCGGATTTTAGTTTGCCATGTTGCACTGATACAGTTACAGCCATTTTCATCCTCATTGCACGATTCAGCGACGCAGTTTGAACGTGACCATTGCATCCACTTGCTCCCAAATGGAAAAGCATTCGATCTGAACAGACCATGGCTCTGGTGTCATCTTTGCGTTTTTGACAAGAAAAATCAGCTCTTCATGAGCGACAACTGACTCACCAGGCACATGGTGCACAAAAAAGTTGTAGACCCAAATGAGTAGCGGGCCGATTCGGGAATCATCGCTCTCACTTACTTCTTCAACATCAAGGGTGTCACCATTCCGAAATTGAATGTGGCATTCATAGCCGGCCGGCGGCTCACCTGTTTCACACCATGGAATTCCTCCTTAATCGGTCGCTGCAGGCCACTTTCACAAACAATGTTTTGGAGGCGTCTTGCAAACGGTTCTTCATGTTTCATATATCACGCCGAGCGACCCATCAACGAAGGTGCACATCTCGTGGGTTCCATGAAACGATATCAAATGATACCCCCACCCCGAGTTTACTTCTCACCACAATTAGCCTTGACAAGAAAAATGTCGAAGAATGTGATTTCACGTTTTCTCAACCAACGGGTTTCTGATATGCTGGTGCTTTATGCAAAAGCTTTGCAACATGGAACGCAGCTCACGCGAGGCCGTGCAAGGATTTTCACACAGTCTGTGACTTCGCTTCGAAAACTGGCTCAGGTGAAGTGAGCGTTCAGCGTCACTCGGGTGACCAGGCCAGGAGCAAATGGCACACTCTAAAAACTTCTGCTAGTCGATGTCCTGCGAGGCAGGCAAGGTGCAACATAATTCTATATTTGATTCTTGATTCATAAAACGTGTTTGCCAGATGCACTGAGTCAATCAGATCCCAGACACCCCCTGCGCCTCAACGGCGCCATCCACAGCCATTGTTTCTTCCTCCTCCCCCTCAGCGTCATCGCCAGCCTCGTCGACCTCCTCGGTCTTTGCGGCTTCCTCCACAGTCTCCTCCTTTGCGTCACTCCCCGGAGCACCGCCGTCGCCAGGCGTCTCCTTTGGAGTCTTGCGCTTGGCTTCCGCTGACATGGACTCCTGGGAAGGGGCGGTGTGTATCAATCGATGGAACCCCAAAAGCAAATACCCCTAGTAAGGTTCATGTGAAGCGATTAAAGGCACACTGCTCAATCTTGGGACTTTGTGATTCGTGCATCAACTTGGATTTGGTGTTCTGTTCAGTGTTCACCGTCAACTGACGCATTGCTGTCCAAGATGATGTTCGATCAAAAATCATCACCAAACATTGCATTCGATCAAAGTTGTTCGAATGCCGAAAGAAGTTCGATCAAAGATAAAAACCAAAGTATATTGTTGTTTCACGAAAGATCACAGTTGTCCCCACCTGGAGGGCCTTCGCTGCCGAGACATCGCCCTTCGTCCGAATCAGTTCGTCTCGAACTGCAGCCTTGACCAAAAGCTGAAGATACAAAATGTACAATCGCTGTCAACGTTTTTGGGGAGAGCGACACTATAGTTGACAATTAGATTGACGGAAGTGGATGAGTGTAAACCGAGAAGCAGCGATGGCGTCCAAGTCCTCGTCAGAGATTGCAGCATCAGGTTTCACCTCCATTGCACGCAATATCACGCAATGCATTTAGCAATGACAAGTTTCAATTGCACATCACGATTTCAAGGTTATTTGGCACCCCTTCACAAACCAAATGCATGCTAGTCACCCTAATGACTTCCTTTCCAAAGAGCTTGGTGCAGTAGACACCATTTGGATACCGAGACTTGCTAGTGCTGATGTGATTTGGGTCCTTCTGTCTCCTGGCCGGGCGCTTCATGGGCACTGCACCGCCAGAACCGGAGGCCCCAAGAGATGCAGCTTGTCGTTTCATGGGCACTGCCCCTCGTGGTTCCACAGGGTCGGAATCCTTGGGTGCCTCAACCTTCTTCTTGGGCTTTGGTTCAACAACCTTGTTGGGTGTTGTTTTCGGGCCCCCTTTCGCCTTTGGCGTTGCCTGGCATTTTGCCTTGGCTTTTGCAGATTGTCCAGCTTTTGTTTGAGCTGGCCCTTTGGTGTCAGCATCATCACTAAGTGCGTCCACAGAATCCAAAACCATTGCAACCCTGTAAACTATTCTATGGAGCCCTCGATCCAATGGAAAACTTCAAATGCAGCAGAGATTGAAAAGACATTTATGTATCGACCTTTAGGCAGTCGCTGTACACATGTCTGGCGTCGCATCGACCCGGCACGCAGGTGTTTCCTGGGCGTGGAGCTTGGTTTGATCACCGCTGTGAGGCACCCCAGGCATTCGTGTGTTGCCCTTGCTGCCAACTGAAACGAACCCCCAAGTTTCACAAGACTCATGAGATTGACATCATGTTTTTTGGGGGCAATGAGATTGAGCAATGAGATTGACATCATGTTTTGGGGGCAGCCATGGACACACAAAACCCATATGCCAACTGGTTGCCGCTATCCCAAATGAAGCTGCCCCACAAAAGTCTACTGGAGCAAGACTGCCGTCTTGGCAGGTACACTGGTCACACTCAGCCAATAATATTTTGGCTTGATCGGTTGCAAAACGGCTGGCACTGCATCCGTCACACGGACCTTCAGGGTATAAGCGATACCAAATGATCCACTGTCAGAAACATGGGAGCTCAATGAAACCACACTTACATGCAAAACCGGTCTTGATCTTCGTTTTGGTTTGTCAAGACGCACCTCCCACACCACTTGGCAATTGGATGACTTCGGCAGCTTCTCAAAGTTTGTGAAGCAACCCCCAAACTGGCTGTAGCGGGCGTTCATGAGATCTCCATCGACAGCCTTCGGCTTGAAGCAATTGACCTTGCTCTTGGGAGTGACTTTGAAGCGAAATGGCCTTTCGACAGGCCCAGCATCTGTGTCCTGCCAGTGGGTTAGAGACAAGCCTGGTTGATTTGTATTGCTGACACGCAGTTCATAAGTAGGTGGAACAAAACACAGCATTGGTTCCAGGTTCACAATTCATCCTTCGTCATTGGTTCCAGGTCGTGATCGACCATGGTCACTTCAGTGATGCCGCGGGTTCGGGTTACGAAGCACAAAACGTCCGCGACCGTCATCAATTTTTTGTTTGCGCTCCCATCGCTGGTGGTCACCAACGCGACCACATCAAGGTCTGACGTGATCATCCATGGGATGTGATCCACGGTGGTGCTGGCATCTCCTGGCAGGAATTGGGGTTGTGAGTGGAGGTGGAGTGAGGTGATTCGAAACGGGACAACCAAGGAATACCGGATCTAGCGAAACATGGTTTGGGGACAACCAATCAACCCTTCAAGTCCTGTTGTCAACTCGCTGAATCCACCAACATTGAACCCAAAGAGCTCTCGGGCCGACAGTGATTGGTTCGATGCGCTGTCGTTGATCAACCAGAAGGACTCATCGTTGACATCCTTGCCCACATGTAGCTCCAAGTTGTGCAGGGCAGCTTTGCAATGCAGCCTTGATTCAACACAGCACACGGGCAATTCATCTAGACATGATATGGGAGGTGAAGTGGGGTGGAGTTGGAAGTGGAATCCCCAAGAAAAGGTCCACATAGGTCCACACAACAAAAAGATTCTCATAAAGTACACATGAACGTTCGGCCAGTGGTGAACTCATCCATGGGCTTGGTGGTCACGGTTACACTTTTCTCGAAGTTGGGGACTGTGCAGCCGTCATAGTCAGGGCTTGCAACTGTCCGAGAAGGGGTGGCGGTGGGACGGGTAGAGGATGGTGGCTCACACACTGCACTGGTACCAGCCTCCCCAACAGAACCTTGCAAAGCCGCTGCGATGTTCCGGTCATTCGCAAGTGCGTCCTCCAAAGCTTTCACTTGGGAGGCATGGCTGGCCAGGTATTTGTTCTTGACCAAATCTGGAATCCTGAGCAGAAGCGAACGCAACCCCATGTTGAAGACCCCTTTTGACCCCTTGTTGAAGAAGACACATCTTAGAATTCATTTCTTGAAGTCGAGTATCTTGCAAACCCCATCAGAAACTGTAAGCACCTCCATGCTTGGCGTGGGCTCTGAGAAGCTGGAGCGGGGTCGTCGCTTTGGTCCTGCGTCCCCTGACTCATCCCACCACTTTGACATGAGCATCCCCGCTACGGTGGCACTGTTCTTGCTCATGGTTTTGCCGTCATCTTCCAGAAACAACCCCATGTAGTGGAAAGCCGGGCCCTCCCTTCCATCCACCAACACTGACAGCTGCTTGTTGGCGCAGGAAATGGACCACTCTCCAAACCTAGGCCGGTTGTGGGCACTGGGACGAGAGCAGGTCTTTGCGTTCCACATGTTTGATCACCTTTGGTTTTCCAGCTTTTCGGTGTTGGTCATCATGCCCAACAAAATCAAGGAGCCGATTGGGCAAACAATCCACCACTAGGACTGGGCGGGAATCCTGCAACTCGAGACCTTCCAGTAGCTTGGAGAGGATGTCACCAGTCGCATCGACGCCGCGTTGTTGAACCTTAAAAGATACCAGCATGATGAAGGCTCCAAAAATAGGTTCCATTATTTAGAGGAAACTTGAACGCGTTCACATGCACCCTAGGAACACGCCAATGGGGCGCAAGTGGCCGATCTTCCTCGGGGTTCTGCAATTCAGAGACTCTTGACCTCTGGATATCGCGGATAGTGCCAAGGACACATTTTGCACGAGAGAATTCTCGGTGCATCCCGCAAGTGAGGGCAAGGCCTTGGATAACATCAGATAACCGCACATGGAGCAGCATGCGCTGCAACTTGCAGGTTTTGATGTGGGAAGATACTTCTTGAAGCGGTATGTTTTCTTGTCAAGATTTGTGTGACACTGCAATTGCCACCCAGTAACACTGTTGGCTGGTCTTCCTCCGGTCGTTTCCATGAACGTTGTCGCAGTAGTTGAGCGAGACCTCATGCACATCGAAGCTCCTCAGGGCCCGAGGAGAAAGCACGAATTTAAAAGCACGAACTTAAACAAATAAAGCGATAAAGCACACACACTCACACCCTGCGACGCCACCACACATGAGATGCCATCAAGCGTCGCCACTGCCTTGTCCTCCAAGATCCTTCGGTGTGCCAGTATGGCTGTATGAGAGCAACTCGAATGCGGCTGCGGCATCAGCACAAACGCCATCGACCCAGCATTTCCTCCACACACCGCCTGCGCCAGCGTGAAGGACTCGTCCACTGACAATGCGCCTGGGCAAAAACTAAAATACACTAAAGATAGTCATGTGACTTTTCTCATTGATAGTCATGTGACTTTTCACGCAAAAACTGTTCACGCTAAAGAACGGTTCGGCCAAAGAGTGCAGTCAATGACGATGATGGTCAGCCTGAGCTGGACAGTGAGTGAGAATGCGGCCACGACTTGAGAACCCGAACCTCAAGCTAAGGAGCGATGATTTCCCCAGCGCAGCTTGCTTCTCCACAATCTCACCCTGTGCCAGCATAAGGTTCTTGTAGCTCCCAAAGACATGGCGCCGGGACATGTAGTTTGCCACAGCATCCTTCCCCTTCTGAAAGCGAGTGGAGAGGTACTGCAAATCGAGCCCACCCTGGCAATACGACACACTGGCCCAACAAACCACAGTTTTGTTGAAACCTATTAGAAACCTATTTGGCAGAAGAAGCGCCTGCTGACTTGCGAAGAGCTTGAACTTGTCGGCCCATCCCCGCAGAGCGTTCATGTCATTCTGGATGTTGAGCTCTGTTTGCGACCACGTCGTTTGCAGCAATGCGGCCTCGAGCCTCAGTGAAACTAAAGCTGCATCAATCAAAACATAATAAAACATAGATAGATATAGATAGCAATACTGTGGAGACTTGCAACTTAGTGTTGATTTCGGTGAGGCCCTAGACCTAGAACATGTTCCAATATGTTCCAATGTGTGATCGAGAGGCTCTGCGGCCTTCTTCACGCCATCATCCTGAACTTGCTCGGCTTTTTGCACGAGGCAGCAAGGGCCGTGGCTGACAGCGGTCGACACGAATTGTAAAGCTCATGTATTAAGGGTTTACGTTTATCCAGCCTTCTTTTGGAACTTGCTCAAATGATTTTTGAACACGTCGACCTTCGACAAGTCACATGGAGGGACCGAGCTCTGAATGAGGTGGAGGAGATCGGCGTCTGCGTGACGGTTGCAAAACCTGGAATGGGGTTTCTCGCAACTCATTGAAACAGATCCATCTAGTTTGTTTGAAGCTTGCGTGAGACTACCTTGAAATTGTGTTCTTTCACGCTCTCATATGTGGCTTGATCTACTAGACGAGAAGCGTTGACACGATCTCCTCCCTCACCCCTTCAAAGTAGCTAGTTGGCACAGACTCCTTGAAGACGGTCAAGCACGACAAGAAACATGCACAAATACGCTGCAGCTGTTCCTTGGCAAGCTCAGGGGTAATAAATTGTGAAGTTGAAGTCTTGACATCCCCACGCAAGCCTTGCTTGGACACATAAACAAATGCAATTGTTCTAAAAGAGTCTAGATTTTGCTGCGACCATGGCTTCCTCATCTTTATTGCCAGTGACTCGAAATCCTTCTGCATCCGATGTAGTAACAGGTCAACGCAGTCCTGGCTATTCCCTAGGAACTTTTCCCAGGCACCCAGGGAACCAGACACGCCATTGTAGTCTGTATTGAAAATTCCTGCCGCGATCCCGTCGTGTAGGATAAATCTTGGCTGCCCATGAATCCTCCACAGAGTTGGTTTGAGAGCATGGTGGTTGGGAAGTCACAAAAACACCGCCGAATTGCACATACAATCAGAATCAACAACGCGTTTGCTTGGTGTGTTGTGGGAGACCCGCCTGACCAAATCCTTCAGCTTAGTTCGGGTGGACGAACTCACTGATTTCAACAGTGCAGTGGCCGCCGCGGCTTCGGTGCGGCCCACTTGGTAGGCAGCGGCCACGCTGGATGCATCGTCCAAGGACTGGCAGAATGTGGGGATATGTGGGGGCATGGGGGGCCGCCTCGTCAGACCCACTCCATGAGGAAACTCTATATGTATATGTGAGGTGAGTTGGTCCCCCTCAAATATACTCAAACGGACGGCGCCCTTTTTTGTGATGGTGCCTGGAGGTCCTCCACAGCTTTGTCGCCAGAAAAGCCATCTCGCATTAAGATCTCCATCTGATGTAGCAAGTTGAAGCAGTTGGGGCGTCTTCGAATGGCGCTACTCAGCGTCACTCCTGAAGCGGTCATGGACCATGCACTCTTATGGTAGCATATTCGATACCAAGAGATTTTGTAGCTATGTCAAGTAGCTTGGTCAATATGGTCAATACTTACTCTCAATGGTTGATCATGATGCAAATGTTTGATCATGTTTGATCAGGGCACCCCGGTGGCACGTGAGCACTTCTTGCAGCCCCACGTTCTGCTTGGTGCAATGGACGCATTTGAAGGTCCTGGTTGAGAAGTGGTTCAACAATGTTCAACGAATGCAATTTGGCTTGGGGTGACCAAGTAGACGCTAAGGCCAGTGCTCTATCACCTCTTCGGGCATGGCCTGGCTTTCAATTTGTGAAGGTATACTCACACTGGACCAAAGCTCCCTTGCGAAAACTCTTTGGCTACCGGCCTCCATGAGTAAAGGCATCTCATACGCTGCCAGCAAAACCAAGAGCCCGCACACCGAACGATTGAAGCCCTTCACCGCAAACACCGTGTGCGGGGGCAGCAGTTTCTCTCCCGAATCTATACTTAGTTCAGCTGCGGACATCCACATCCTGTGACCAGTGAGCCACTTATCATCCACAGCACATACCACCAGCTTTTCGGTACCCGGTATGTTTGGGTCCGTCAGGAATCCGGAAAGGCCAATGAGCTGACAAAGGCACTTTTGCACTTCCTGATCGAGGGCATTCGAGGGCAGCAGAGAATGACAACGAAACACGAAGTGAAAACATACTAAAGGAGCAATTAAAGTGATGAAAACATACTAAACACGAAGCGTTGTTCAACATCGCATGTCCCCCGCAAGCCATAGTCAAGTTCGTGTGGCAGCATCCATGGCCGCAAGTAGTGGCTACCAGGTGATGCAAAAGATTCCTCTGTAGCGTATGGCCTCACTAGTTTCATTGGAATTTGGGCATCCACTTGAATTGACTCCAGTTGATTCCCTGAGTCAGTGACACACCATCTTGCCCTGGAAATTTATCCTCGATGAAGTTGTAGAACTCTATGCATTGCTCCTGGCCATGAAGCTTTGCTGCACGCAGGTTTCAATGACGTCTCCTGCGTGGCTGTCCTTGGTGGCCAGCATCTTGCTCAAATAGAGGTCTAGTGCGCCATGATCTCGAATCACTTCATCCCTCGGGTGCAACTATTAACGAGCAATGAACGCTCGACGAAACAAGCAAACATGTTTGAACCAACAATGAAGCGATCATTCAATGAAGCGATCATTCAGCTGAAAGTCAGCCATTCATTCAACAACTTCATATGAGGTCGTTTGGCCGAGTCTGGCGGGATAGCAGGTAGCGAAATTGCTGCAGCTTTAGCTTTAGCTTTAGCTTTGGGATCACCGCTTGAAATCTTCCGCTTGCCGCCCATCGAGGCAAGGACACCCACGGCAATCACCTGGCATGCTGGGACTCTCAGTGGACTGGCTCACCCGCGCACTTGGTTGAAAAGGGTTGGAAAGATTGTTCAAATCCCAAATGAACTTCTTTCGGCCGTAGGGCCAAAGATTATTTCCTGACAGGGTTCCCCACCAGTGGAGTTTGTGCCAAGCATCCCTAGCGAAACGAGAATGGGTTGTGACCTGTGCCAACCATGGGTTTTGTGCCGAGCAGAACATTCCTGAACTAGCTTTTGTGCCGGGTGGGACCTCCCTCCAACGCGGTTTGTGCCGAGTAGCAACTCCCCCCACAAGGTTTTGTGCCGAGTAGCAGCGCGAATCTTCACAAAATGGTTGTTTCCCTCATCTAGAGCAGCCCCTCCAATTTAAAGCTTTATGTGTGTGTGCGCCGAGTGGAAGGTTGCACCCCTCATAAAATGAATCAGCTAGGGAAATATGAACACTCATTCTGAAATCCCATTTGTTGTCACAAAGCAGGGCGGAAGCCTGGCCACCGTGGTTGTGCCTGCGGACATTGTCATTAAGCACAAATCCCCTAAGCCTGAATCTAAAAAGAAGAACATGGGTTCCCAGAACTGTTTGAAAGACAAAACTGGTCCCTGGAAAGGTGAGTTGTGCTTGAAGACAATGCCCGTAAGCACATTCTGAGCAGTCTATTCCCACCCCGCCTTTGTGCATGAGAACCCTTCACAATTGGCGAGTGTGAACTAATCCCCAAATGCACCGTTGTGAAAACACCACCCAGTTTCCTTTGTTAGAAGCATTCATGCATATAGGGTCTGGTATCAAGTAGCGCCCAGCTTTCCCCTCAGCGATCGAACTTGAAGCTCTGGTCTTCTGTCAACGCAGCCGGGCTTTCAAAGCCTTCTTCTAAACCATAAGGCTTTCTATGCGTCGCAAGGCGCTGATTCAATCAAACAGGTTGCTTGCGCAGCACATTTGAACCAGGTTTAGTGGTTTGCAGAAAATGCTGAACATGACTGACGTGCGCCGAGCAAACGGGCCCACCCCTTGAAAAAGGCTTGAGACATGCTAGGCATCCAATGCCAGATCAGAACACATTCGAAGGTTTCGTTCAACAATAAGCGGGATCAAAGCTCGCCAGCATCTCTCATAGCTGACTCTACAATCGATATGGCTTCGGCCATATCCACCCCCTTGGACCACAAACGGGCCGCCGCTCTGTACAGAGCTGCTTGAGATGCAGCTCTTCTAAACATTTTTCTTTCTGCAGGTGGAGGTCGTTCGGCAACCAATCGAAGTTCATTTGGAACCTCGACGCAAAAGCCAACAAACCTTTCAAACAGTACCTGTCTCACCACCAACCCAGGCCCTACCGTGTTGGAAAACTTACACTTTATTTTGGGCAATGAAATTCAGACCCCCCGGTACACTAACGGGCACAAAGCCAATATTTTGGAGGGGCCAAGCGGGACTTGGGGGTCAGGTTCCATGACCTCATAGTTTGTTCGAGTGACAGCTTCCAAATTCTGTCCTTCCTCTCGAGGCCGCCATGCGATCCCGGGGCCCACAGAAGGCGAAGCGTTCGGAAAACACCTGGGCCGATTATTCCCATGAAAGTACTTCATGGGGTTTCACTCTGTGATGTCATGAGGTTCTTGATATCTTCACGTCAAACTGAAACCCTCTTTGGGCAGATGGAACAGCTAGGAATCTAACCTGTGCACATCCAAGAGCGGATACCGACCGGTGACATTGTTTGCAAGGTCCTCGATACATTCAGCTGCGCTCACCATGTCAAAGGGAGGTTGGCCTAGGCCAGCAAGGGACCAACTGAGGGCTAAGACCATGTCAGGAACCATCATTTCGTAATAGGGCTTGGACGTAGAATGGCCGCATATTTTCGCAGGCTCTTGTTCTCATCGCTGTCAATGTTCACCGCGTCATGGATGAAAACTGTCAAAGAATTGATTGAAACATATTGAAACTAATGCGATTACATGCGATTACATTTACATAGACTTTAGCATGCATACTGGGGCTACCAGGACTGCGTCATATGGTTGCATCAAGCATCGTCAAACCTTGGGCGTTGACAGACCTGCCTGGAGGCGGTGCGGCGTGGGCCAACACCAGAGCTTGGGAGGCTGGGAGGTACAAAAACTGCTTGGGCTGGTACGAAGGATCACTCATGAACCGCTTGGTCCTGCCAGAAAGCAACCATCAGCATGATTTGGAACGACGTTGCTTCTGTGTGTCAAGTTCTGTAATGTTGACAAAGGGTTCAATCCTGAGGACAACATCATTGGGACTGTGCGCCACATGTCGTCGACGCCAGAATTTGGATATGAGAGTGTTGCGGTCGAGTCCTGCCATCGGTAGGCAAAAGTTTAGATTTAGAAAGTTGAGTTCGAAAGGTTTCGGACATAGACTATAAAGTTTAGAAGTTTCCTGTGTCAGCCAGCCGCTCCAAACGCCACACGTGTGGCGCGCCGGGGCCTCCTATGCCCTTTACGTGCAATCCCTGAAGGTAGTGAGCATAGTGCCCTTTCCTCGCCAGCACCAAAGGCACGCGTGCAGGTGTCACTGGAAGTGGGGAAAGCTTCGAGGCAGTGGGAATGAGTAAAAATGATGCCAATTCTGTTGAAGGGCCAATCATGGAAGCTGTCAAACACAGTGACTTCTCTCGATGGCTCATTGACCCGAACGCTTCTGTTCTCAAACATTTTCTGTAGGGTCTTCTGGAAATCACTGATGTTGTGAAGCTCTCGGAATCGGTCGAGGTAGGAACTGGTGAGGCTGAAATGAGCATCTATGTCTTCATGACTGTGTCCAGTACTTAAGTAGTTGAATTCACAGCCGCGTAGTCTGTGAAGGGCAATCAGGGTGGACATCATGCGCAAACCTGTTTGATGCTTCAACTCACGGCTGCAGTTGTCAGCCTCCAAATGAAGAAATACTGCTGGCCAGTGTATGTAATGCAATTGCTTTGTCATCATGTACGCTACGAGTTCCATGGTCCTCGAACCTGACGCTAGAGTGTTTTGTGGACTGAGCCCGACCAAGATCGCATGGCCGTGTGCAATGATGGTCGTAGCCTGTAAGCGGGGTCTCACCCACGAAGCGAACTCCTTAGCATTGATGGCCTCCCCTTTGGGGTATGCATGTTTGGCTTGGTCCATGCCGTCGCGCAAATCATGGAGACGTGGGTGACAGGGGCTCCTGACGTGGCCTCACTTCGGCTGCGTGCTCTGTGACTCCAGTAGACTTGTCGGTCGCGATACTGACGGCCCAAATGGGCCTTGTACTGTTCCAGCTGGGCCAGCCGTGCCGGACCACGGCCTAAGCGGCGAATGATGAGCCGGTGTCGGATGCAGACCGAGCAGCGGGCGTGGTGACCTTGTTGCCTTATCCTCAAACGGTGCCGGAAGTCTTCCATCCAGACCTTAGCGTTGGCTCCCGGAAAACGATTGAGGTTTGGGCCAATTTCATTCAAGCAAAACTGGAGTACGTCACGCACGCACTTACAAGTCCACCCAACAATTTGTTGAGGCTGTGGCAGAAGTAAATAGTTGTCGGGAGATCTTGAAATCAGTGAGCTCCAGCCGGCAAAGGCGAAGGTACTCCATAAAGGTTCCCGGGGGTAGGTGTCGGACCT